AAGACCCTGTGTCAGTTTGTGCTGGCAACCTACTGTGTACACACTGAGCCTGTGCATGTTTGAGTTCCATATAGAAACTACATGCTCACCAGTGACTGTGGCCATTTGTGCACATATGTGCTGTAAAACCAAAGGAGGGTTAATGGAAAACCACAAATGATCTTGAGATTTGGCAGTCGTATAAAAATAGTTGAAATTCTTATATTGAAAATGCCATAGATACAGTTGAAAAACTTGACGGCATTTCCACATCCTGCAGATAAAAGGAAGTCTCTTTTTTTTTATTAGTACTTGTTTCACTGACATGAGTTCTCTTTGTTTTACATTTGGGCACAGGACAAGATCCTTGGTCCGTCATCCGAGCCTGGTTGATATGGGAAGCAAAAGAGTCATACCGGTCCCGTCAAGGAATGCCGCCAAGAAAAAGGTCAGAAAAAATTAAGTCCTTAGAAAGTCCGAGAAAACATCCTGGTGTCTCAGAGAAAATTGTTTCAGAATGTTGGCAGTCACCTTTGATGCAGTTTTTACTGTGGTGGTTTAAATATTGCAGGTTTTAACACATAAATAGAACTAAAAGTGTTTTTCCACCAATGATGTTTCTCAAGAGTCTAGTTCCAGAAACTTCATAAATTCTCTCGTTTCTAGTCTACCATGGCCAGCTATTTTAAGTCATTGCACATTAGAACAGCCCCCAAGGTCATGAAAAGCTGGGAAATTCCCAAAGTTCTGTGCTACTGAAACATTAAAACGCACATTGATTTATTTGGTGTCTGTGAACTGTACAACCAACCGTGTACATTAAGAGAAAGCGGATGAAAGATTCTTTGTTTTTTCTTACTCACAGATATGAAACTCAAGAATTAAGATCAGTTGGTTGCCTGACTACTTAATGAAAATTGCCTTTTTAAAAATTTTTTGCAGGATAAAACAAAAGCAAAAGAAGTAAAGGATGGTAAGTTTTTCCTTGCATTGGTTTCTTCTCTTTGTGATGGATTACAGGTCGCTAGTATAGGTAATATTCTGTCCATTGTAAGCTTGCACACCTGTTTTTTGCTGTGCCAAGCGCCAGCGCCAGGTTATGTGTGTGCGACTAGGACAACGCATATGTGCACATAAACAAAAAGCAGCGTGAATGTAACTAAATGTGTATGCATTGAACCAACTTATTTTCAATTAGTTGAAGTCTGTAAAACCCTTTTTTGGTCACAGTGAAGTTATAAGATGTCAAATGTCGGCCGATTCTGGCACAAAGTAAGAGAATCTAAGCATAGAATGGAGGGAACACAGCAAGTTTGCCCAGTACCAAGATACCAAGATTCAAGTCGTTAACCCTTCAACAGGTGAAGGATTATGGACTGTTAGGGTTAATGTTGTCCGCAATGATGCATCTTTCCTTCTGTGTAGACGCCACTTCGAATGCCAAGACGGTGCGCAGGAACCTCTTCATGGGTGGAGCCAAACACAGCCCCAGGAAAGGTGTAGGCGGCAAACTCCCACGACGGCAGAGCGTGGCCGTCATGCAGAGTGCTCAGAGCACCAGGTAGATCCATTTGAACCATCAAGGAAATCCTTGCTTTTCAGAAATGCCCTTGGGAGCCATTTAAAATGTGCTGCAGTCAACTTGAGTTTTGAGTCCCGCATAAATGGAAGTTGGAAGGTCGATTGCTGTACCATCTGGGAGTGCTTTGGAATGCAGAGCTAAGGCTTTGAAAGTATACCAAGATAAAAGTTACTGTGATTAATGTCCTCTTTGTAATGGTATACAGCTTGTGATGTTATCAACACAGATGAGTGAACAAACTAGACCGATGTTAAGGGTACTGAAATCGGCACAAAAGTTTTCATATTTGATTAACAAGGCTCAACCATTCAAGTGTGCAGAATACCAAGTGCCTTTGCTCTAAGAACACTTTCTTGAAATCAAGGAATGTACGAAAATTAATTTAATCTGCTCGTCTGATCATTTCAGGGTCTTGATGGAGATTATTGACTTCTTCCATTAATCTTGCACGTAACTCTTGACCATTGTTTGGGGGTGTAGTTAAAATTTTGGTCTGCAGATAACCCCATGAAAAGAAATGGCACGGTGTCAAATTTGGCAAACGTGGGTTCTTTTGAAGATTTCTTAAACCGTGTCAGTGCTTAATGAACCAAAATCTCATTAACAATGCCCAAATTTAATACATTGCCTCCGTAATGATAATTGTGGTGACCCGCTCATCGTGTTATTGGCTTAAAGATAGTTTTCAATTTTAAATTTGTATTTTCTGGGATTTTTGAAGGAAAAGTCCAAGGAGACGCACACCTCAAAGGGCCAAAGCACCCCTGGTGCTGAAGACAAGGGTCGTCAAGGAGACGCCGGGCAAGAAGCAGGTTTTGCAGGCCATGCTGAAGAAGCAGGAGAGGGCGAGGTGAGATGTTTAAGGGCGTGACAGGTGGTTGAAAACAAAGTACTGATGATAGAAGCAGGCTACGCTCTGCACGTACTAACACCCGAGATACCTGATCCCTAATCCTCCCACATTCTTCAAAGTCCGCTAGGTTTTTAAAAGATTTGGCAGGAATGAGGAAGATTGAACTGAATGATTGAATTGAAGGGAAAAAAAGTAAAATGGAGGAGGTAAGGCGATAAAAATCAGCAATTTGTGTGGAAGAAATACCTTGGAAGTGGCCCCCTTCTTCTGTGGACTTTTTTTTTTTGCTGTGGGGGTAAGTACCTTGGTTCCCGGCCCCCCTCCCCCAAAAAGCTTTGCCTCCTTTCTGGCGACGCCCTTGGTCACATGCCACGGTTGTGCCAATCAGCAGAAAGAATCTGCGAATGAGGTGTTCTTGTGTACCCTGCGCAGGACGCAGGGCATGCTCTGTGTCTGCCCCAAGAGTCTCCATGACTCACGCAAGGCCTATAGAGTGATTGCCCTTGATATCACTGACCAGTGATACCGGTGATTTTTTTTCTTTGTCTAGGAGATTCTCGGCAAATTCCGGGAGAGTCGTGGTTCCTCCAACCCCCACAAGAGTGATCGAAGAATCGCCGCTGAAACCGCCACCTGGTGAGTTGATTCTTGGAACCTCAAGCTTCTCCCAAATGAGGCATTATATGGTTAGCAGTGCAACTTTTATTCACGATCTTGCAACACACAAGTGCTGACTAAGTAGCGGTCATGAGCAAAGATAATTGCTTTTTGGGGATTAACAATACAGAGCTGGACAGTATGGTTGTGTGCTGATACCCCATTCCACAGGTCCCAGGTTCGACTCCCGGCAAATAGTTATACCGCTAACACAGGGTTTGGCAGCTGAGATGGTAGAGAACGGGTAAAGCACTCTGAGATTCTGGGCTTGAATCCGACTTCAGTCATTAGGCCAGCTTTCACCACAGGACATTCAATGTAGTCGGTGCGGTACATTTAATGGTACTCCTGAGGCCTGAGGTTCAAATCTTGCCCTGTTTTCTTTCTTCAATCTAACTTCGTGAATTTGGCTTTTTTTTTGTCTTTCAGCCCTGAATGTTCGTCGCAGTCCACGTGTCAAACCTCGGAAGCCTGGGGACAGGCGCAGCTTCTACTCCACGAGTAGCGTCGCCGACCTGAAGCGGGCCCGCGACTTGGGTTCCAGGATTGCGGGCAAGGCAACCCCACCTCCCCCTGACAAGCCACTCCCACCCGCAAGCAGGAAGTCGCTGTTGAGTGAGATCTGCAGTCCAAGGAGCTTACCAGGGACATTGCCACCAACCCAGGGTGAGCCCGAATCCTCAAGTCGGAATACCAGGTCCCAAGTAAAACGGACACCCTCAAAGGATTTGGTAGGAAAAGCGACCCAAGCCGGAACAAGCCCAAATGAGACAGGCAAAACAGAGGATGCAGTGTTCAAGACACCCACAAGAGCTCCTAGAAGGCTAAACATCAAGTCCCCTCCCAGACTCTCCACCATTGCAGTTGAGAGCACCTCAGATGGCCCAAGTGAGGAAGCCATCTCAAGCAAGGTTTGTGATCGAGGTAAAGTCACCCTGCAAGAGCCTGTGGTAGCTGATTGGCCGCTAAATGTGGACAAGGGTAAATCACCCAGTGGATTTGGAGGTAGGCCAGCTGCAAGGGTCACTCAGAAATCCAGCAACGGAACTGGGGTAGGTGAAGATACCAGTCCCTGCTCATCACCTTTAAAGATGACGAGCCCATCCCGCACTCCAAAGAGCCAAGGGCCACACACCAGAACGTCCTCTGTAGCAGCCTTGTCTGTACCAGCCCACGCTGTGGAAATGCCACTCGAAGATTCCACTTCACAAAAACAACCAGAAAGAGATGGTGAAAATGTAGTCACGCCGAGCAGGAGGAGTCAGAGACTTCAGAAGTCTTCCTCGCTTTCCAACCAAGCTAGTGTTTCCACCGTCAACCTCGGCTCACAGCCAGCAGTCATGGATGAGGCTGCAGGTGCCAGAACTGAAACAAGCAGGGCATCATCAGAGGCTCAAGACAACTCTCTCCATCCTCCTAGACACCGGAAACGAGCATTGGCAGACAGAACTCCCTCCCCTAATTGCAAGACCCTGGCCCACACTCCGTCCCCGCAGAAACTCTCCAAGTCGGCCACCCCGAGCTCCCTCCACGAGTGGCAGCGGAAGAAGAGACTCCGGCGCGACTCGCCCGAGAGGTCCACCTCGCCTATCTTTTCCAGGGTCACCCCTCCCTCCGCCCAGCGGAAAAGGAAGCCCGCCACCCCGCCTCCCGCACAGTCACCCAAGTTTGGTCGGGTGACGCCTTACTCGGAGAAGAGAAAAAGAGGACTGAAGCTGGGAGGCTCTACCAGGAAACAGAGTCCAGGAACAGTGACGCCTGAAGAATCCTTGGGGAAATCAGGCCAGTACAAGCTTGGCAAAGTGCGCAAAGCAAACGTGAATCTCCTGACTCTGATGATGGGTGCAAGTAACGATCACCCCATCGCCGGCAAAATGCAAACACGAAGCCAGTCACGTGAGAGTGCAAAATCAGCAGGCGCCTCCAGCGACCTATCGGACTGCCTTGAGGAGCAACAACCTGCAGTATACACCTTCTTAGATACCCATCTGGATGACTCTGACGACGATGTCGACTTCCCCAAAATGATCTCCCCGATCCGCCCAAAAGCCAGAGCCGTCGTGACTGACGAAACCTCCCCGGACGGAGTGAGTGATCGCCCCACAATAAAAAGTCCCAGCATGTCAGCCAGGAGTTCCGCGTCAGTCTTCCTCTCAGAGGATGAAGCGTCCTTTTCCACAGATGACGTCTTCCTTCAAGCGTCCCCCTCACATGCCAAGCGGAAGTTAAGGACTACCTCGCTGACCACCGGTGGGTTGTTTGAACTCATGAACTCACCGTTAGTGGAGTCAGTTCAGATGATGTCAAGCTCAGGATCCAAGGTTTCATTCGGTAAAAAACCAAGTAAGTTCAAAATGTGGAAGTTTTCACTTGACCATGACTAGTCACAAATGAAATAAATGTTTTGACAAATTTGCATAGTTTGTTTGGGACTTCTCTCAGGTCTGTGCACCAAGTTTAGGAATGGTGGGCATTGTAAAGAGAGTAGAAAACTAGTCTGACGTGACAAGTGTTCATCACATAGGAGGTACCCAGGCTACCTGCAAACCTTGATTTGATCTTGTGGTTTTTAAACAGTAAAATGATTTCAATCACCAACTTCTATATCAATTTTGAGAGATCTATTTTACAAAAAATTAATGGGAACAACACTCAAAAGTTGGAATTGTGACCTGAAATGTAGAATTCTGTCCACATCGTATTTGCAGAATTTGTTGGTCAAGAAAGTGAAGAACGAGCAAAGTTTGTCAGATTCTGTGCTGAAGATCTCCATTGTAACTTTTCCAGCCTCTTAAAGTAGAAAATCTGTGGCAGGGATGGAAACGAACATTTCCTTTTCCTTTATCTCCCTGCCAGGGAAAGGTCGCCAGTTGTACCCATCTGGTTCCCAGTCATCGGTCAGTTCCCACAGGTCGTCGTCGCTGGGCCTGAGACGTTTGAGTAGCAAAGAGAGCCCGTGAATTGGATTTCAAAACAGTTGGGGATATTTCTCTTGTGCCTGCATGTCCTAGCCAAATAAAGGGCTTTTGGTAGCCATTTTGAAACCAACTCAGCGGATGATGTGATCTGAGGTAAGCATGTAAGGTCCCCTGCATGGAAACCTAATGTCTTTATACAGTAAACCTTGGATAAATCGGATTCGTTTAAGTCAGATTTTCCCTTACCTTGGATAAAATCGCTTGGTTTTTTTCAAACATTTGATTTGTCATGTTCTTAATAAATCCCCCGCCTAAGTCAGATCGCGAAAGTCAGATTTTTTGCTTTTCTCAGACAAATCAACCTGGAACATTTGTTAAAATACTGTGTATTTAACCTCTTTTAAGTTGGATTGACCAAAAAAAGATTTTCGTACGTTAAGTCATTCCAGTAAGCTCAGGGATTTGGGGAATTTTTGGTATTTCCCTGTCGAGATCCATCATTGCGGCGCTGGTTCCACCTGGTTTTCACAGCAGTAATATCTGCAGTACCACGTCACATGGGCTGCACGTGTACACATTCTACCTTCAAGCTGCAGCCTATAACTTCTGCTTGAGCTCCGTGTCTTGCTCCACTCCCATTGCCGTACTGCGTGAATGAACTTGATTTCTGGCTGGAAAAAAGGCTATACATGTATACCCATGTGATCACAGGCTGCATTTTTTATTGGATAAGGTGGCTGGGCTACATGGAAGTACAGCTACCAAAGTACACATGCACTGTGATGTCATTGCTCGAGGTACAAGCTTGTGTGATAGGATCAGGGAAACATGTTGGGAGTTTCTCTCTTCAGTATATGTAGTGCGGAAATAAAATGTTTGACATTAGAAACCTCACGATATTACTTTCATATTTTTTGTGGGCAGTGGCCGTTGTATGGCTGGCGATCAGTGACTGTGTAATGCATTTCATCTTCTTTACGTGAGTCAGATTTTTGCCAAAGTTGGATAAAATTGGTTGGCCCCATCAGATCCGAGTTATCCGAGGTTTACTGTGTATTTTTTTTTTGGCTATTTTTGATTTTGGATTGTTGCTTGGCTAAAGGACGATCATTTTTTGGGTCGATTTTTAAGGTCCATTTCCAATTGCTAAATACACAGAGCACTGTCCCATGCTGAGGTACATTAATGGTTGATTAATCATTTTCCAACACAAAATGTCCACAAGATTTTTTTGTCCAAACTAGCCCATAAAGGGCACTCTGGCAAAACGAGTCTCAGCGCTCGGAAGATTTTGAATTGCGGTAAGGCTAAGAATATTCCAGTTCCCCTCCCCCTTCGACAATCATGCCTTTTGTTAATTGTTAACGGTAGAGTGAAAGGCAGACAGGTTCGAAAGTTGGACAGCGTGGGCAGGATTGACACGACTGCTACATTCACAGTCAGTTTAAATTTGGGCGATACTTTCTCAGTTTCATTATAAAACATGTCCGTGTGTGTTTGTTTAAACGTAATGAAACACAAGATCCAACAATTGAACACTTGTCATTGTGTTGAGATAACCCACTCTCTTCCATTTTTATTTGACATAATTTTCTGAGTCATCAGCATCACATTCTGCTGAAATGCTGTTTAAATACGGATATCAGATATCATTCCAAATTGTACGTAATGACAGCACAGTTGATTTCTTCAACGGGACTCGGTATAATAAAAATAAAAGTCCTTTCTATTGTTTACTAAATAAACCTTGGTATGGTTCAGTGAAGTTAGATCTAACTCTTAAAGAGCACCATTTTTAGGTATAAAATGTGGTTGTCCTTTCTGTCTTACTCTAAAAGCTTGTGTTACATGTACATCATTGGAAAAAAAATTACATGGTGGTTAAAATATTTATTGAATATAAATTATGCAAAACATCTGTAAACATGTGCACATAACTTTGAAGTAAGTCTTTCTAATAAATATGTTGACATTTGAAAGTGGGTGGGTGTTTAATGTTTTTGCAGTTGATCTTTATGAAACACCCAGTGGTGTATCCAGTGGGGGGGGGAATTGCCTCCCTCGACGGAAATTTTTGCAGAATTTGTTTTTTAAAACAAAGAATGGATGAGTAGGAAAGAAATTATGCAGTATATTTATTTATCAAATATTGGCACCAAATCCCTAAAATACCAAATATGCAGCAACTAAAAGCAAGGATGTCAGGACCACAAGTAAGGCCTTTGCTTTTTTTACTTCACGTTGATTGAGCCCGAAGACGCATTCACCTTTGGATTCCCCCCCCCCCCCACCACACACACACACCAAAGCTGGATACACCGCTGGTAACACCGTTATCAAATTTAGGGGATTTTTTCTTCAAAAAGTCTTGCTTCAGCCTGAGCAAAGCACCCTCATTAATGCATGTTTTTTTTAATACAATATTGCAAACTTAAATATTTTTTAAATGAGAACAGCCTCTGCGGGTGTTGCTTCCCAAGTTCTGCCAGGCATGCCCACGGCAGCCTTTTGGCAAGGTAACGTGACTGAGTACTGATGATTTTTCACTTGGCAATAAAGCCACCTTTGGGAGTTCTGCACACGGACCTTAAAAAAAACCCAGGACTCGCAATGTCTTCGCACCGAGTGAGGCCACCGGCGGCCATTTTGCCGTGCCCAATACAAAGGCATTGTTTGGCGGACTTGCCATCGTAACTATGGATGGAACAAATGAATTGGGTTAGCAGCAGCAAGCAAGCGTTTATATCCTCATTGTATTCAGCACAGTAAAACGGCCGCCAGTGGCTTCAATGACCTCTGTGTACTATGAACAGCACTGTGGGTCCAGATTCTTTGAATGAAGTCCGTAGTTCTGCAGTCTTAGGGAATTGGGGACTGGTTCCCATGCAGTGGCTGATGATGACACCTGGCCAACATTTAGTTGAAACACTTCCTGAGATACATGTATTCATTTCATAAAATCTTACGAACTCTTAGGACTGCTCTAAAAGCTTCCAATTTTTTTTTTTCAGTTTTGAATTTCAGGCACACATAAATACTTTCAATTTCCCTGAGTTGAAACAGTCAAAATGAATAACCTTTCTTTTATTTATACATGTAACTGAGTTATGATTACCAGAAGGTTATAACAAAAATGTAAGCTAGAAAAAATACTGTTCAATAAGCCATGTTAACTCCAAGCGTGTAAAATTTCCATGGCACCTTGGGAAGAGAGAGTTTAAAGACACAAATACACACCCAGCTATTGCAATAGGCCAATAAAAATTGACATCACGTTTTGATTGTTTACGTGTGAGCTTTCCCATGGTAGTGATGTGAGACACGATCCACTGATCCCTATAGGAAAACGTGCATTGTAAACAAAGCATGACATCCTGTTTTGGGTGTGATGTTCAAACCTTGCATTCACGTAAACCTACATGTGGTGTATGTGGTTCATAATTTTGAACTACCAGCATCTATCCATAGGGCCATGCAGTCAGAATACACCTGTCTCTTCGTCCAGACTTTTCAGGCACGACGTCGGGAACATCTTTTTTTTCTCTCTGTGTTCTCCACCTTAGCCTCCATTAAGATGGCGGATCTCACCGGAATGGGCCCGAGGAACACAAAGACGCCGTCGTTTTCAGACACTGTACTCCAAAGGCATTGCTCGTGACTCGAATCTGCATTTGGTTTCACTACAACTTCCAGATATCAGTCCCAAATGCACCCCTGTTTTTTGGCACGATGTTCAACAATCAGTGCCATCCAGTAGAGATTTTGCCCCCTCCTTCCGTAAATCTGTTTCTAAAGCTCCTTCCACCCCCTTAAAATGGCCCCTTGATGTAAGTTTCAAAAGAGTTGTGGCTCACCTCATGAAGTTGACATGGATGTACGCGGTGAATGCAAGCTTCGTGCCCATGTTGGTAGCAAGTACTGCAGTAGCGTTATCATGCATCGTAGCGATAGCACCAGCATGAACCAGCCTGAAAGTAAAAATGAAAAAGACTAAAAGAACAAAATGGAAAGGATATCCCGTTTATTAAGTGGAACACACTAAAATCAAAGCAACGTTTGAAAACGTATACAAAACTAGCCTACCATGGTGATCTGTGAAGCATTATATTTTTAACGTTCTATGAAAAATCTGTGTCAACCTAAAAGTTGCCAATTCCTTCTTGATGGGTGTATTACCCCTTCAGGAGCCCGTTGGTCTCGTCACTGAATTGGCACAGGCCCCATAGTCTCCGCTCTGTCTCATACAGGAACAGCGCAAAGTGGAAAGCCTGCCCCCCCCCGGCCGTCCGGATCAGGTGGTCCAAGGTCGTCTGGTCCGTGTCCGTCCGTCTCATCCGGGTCCACCCGGGCTCTGCCCCCAGTCGGGAGAACAGCTCCTGGGTCTCTGGCAACCAGTTATCCTGGGCTGCAGACGACAGTGTCCAGCAGGGGGAAACAGAACATGTTCTGTCGTTCAAAAAAGGTTGGAAAGAATTGTGAATTTATCATCAGCACATGAAACTCATGTTACAGATTTAAAGAACCCAATGAATTATTTAGATATGTTTTGACCAAAAAGCGAGTGTAATTAATCCACATAGCTCCTATAATGTGGATAGAGGGCCTTGCCCTTAGAACAAGGGGGCAAAGTCTCCCAATGTCTCCGTCTCTCCTAACCTCCCCCCCGCACACACCATAACACTCTGAATTTACAGGCTGTGAATTTTCATTTGCCAAAAAACCTGGGTTCAAGCATTGAACTAGGGTTTTCAGCTCAGTGCTACCAGGATTTTGAGCGTCTCTCATATCAGCAACCATATCGACACTGGAGGATTTTGTTGTTGCTAAGCGCCAAATCGCAGTAGTGAACACTTACTATCGGTTGACTGAACCCTGTATGGGATATGCCTATAGGTTTTTCAACACACTTTAAAAAACCAAAATCAAACAAGTCGAATTTAATTTTGTGATTTTTAAAACCACTTTTTTTTCCAGTTTTAATCACTTACACTTGTATCAGTCACAAACGCCTGAGTTAGTGACAATCCTGACTTCGTGAAGTTGCCCCTAAAACCTGGAACGTCCTCCGTGAGTGGAGTGAATGACACCGTTTACGTTGGTTGAGCTGGCAGATAAGATTAGGAAGGGTGGAGTGGCCAGCTTGCATTGTTCATAGCCTGAGCTGATACTGGTGCTAAGATAAACAATCCTGGTTTCAGGCGGGATCGACTACATGTAGATATTTCAAAGAGAAATATTCATCTCAACAGAGGGCATGGTGTTGTGATGACCAAGCCAATTGACCAACCTCCTCAAGATATTCGGTATCACTTCCCCCTTGTCAAGTTTCATCTCCCCAATACACTATACCATTTTTCTTCATCTGATGGACTGGGCTTGGTCATGCATCAATCATGGCATTAATGTACATGGACATTACAATTTCACAACGAATGGCTTTCTTGTGTAGGACAGACTTTTCAACGAAAGTGGAAAGCCTTTGTAAGGCAGTGTGCAACTCTCCCTCTACATAGAATCTTTAGTTTGAAGGAGATACATATACATGTATCTTTTCCTTTTTCCAGCTTTTTCTTTTGTTCTTGCGACTGGTTTGGGATTTTCATTAAGAATATTAAAGATGGAATTTATCACTAAAAATATGTCCAATTTGCAATTTCAGGTTCACCCCCATTTGCCACCTATCCCCCTCCCCTTTTGTGAATGATCATGGATATGCACCCGATAATGGATGAAAGTTTGAAGAAATCGGCAGTTTTATGTTGGCCATCTTCATGGGCTAACTTTGACAATGCAGGAACAAGACTGTACGTTTTCAAAAAGAGACCGAGCAGGATTGCATCATTTTCCTTCCTCTGTGATTGCACAGAATTTAGTTTGAGAAAATGCCTGTTTTGTTTTATTACAGGACAGCCGTAAGATTTCTGCACATGTAGGCCTACAGTATGTACAATGAAGGGTAGAGCTTTCATATTTCTGGATCTTAGTGAAAGTTAGAATTAAACTTTTAGATACACCTTAAACTTCAATATTTTTTAAGCGATTGAAACCTTGTGTACTTTGGCGCATGTTTCGAACTCTCCCGTTCTC